GCCGCAAGACGTACTAAGCGGCGCGGGACGTACTGGCCGTCGCTTCCCGCAGCCCCCATTGGACATGGCAGGTAAACAAACCAGCCCGGCCCACCAGGGGCTTCCCCGGAACCAGCGGCGGCCCTAGTTTGAGAACCACTGTTCTAGTATTCAGAATAAAAATACATTAATATTGTCACACATAGGTATAAAATAAAGCTTTACATAAAATTCCTAGAATACTAAGTAAGAGCAAATCCATAATTTTATTCTTAACACTATTAACTTCGGACTACATTCCTTAAGTCACCAGCCTCCTAAAAGCAAAAACAATCAATGTAAAACAAGTCTTCATTTGTTCAAAGCTTCAGCGATAAATATTTGCTAGTCTACTTTGTGAAGAACTGGTGCATTCTTTCCAACTTTATACTAAACAGATATGCCAGAAAACTGCCAGGACCCCAGAGGAGGTGATTAATTTCTGGTTTCCTCTTGGAGTCATAGAAAATGCTCCAAGGCAATGGGGAAAGCAGCTGTAACTGGACGTCAAAATCATGAACACTAAATATAAAAATTAAACTCCTGAAGTAAACTAGCAAACAAAATGTGAGCTACACATTTCTGACAGTACAATAGTTACTCAGGAATTTTCACACTGATTTTCATAAGAGATAAAAACATTTAAATAAATATTTATAGTAGATTGAAGCTGAAAAACTCTAATGTACAAAATGGACAAATGTATCTATTATTAAAATGTAAATATTCTTCTAGCTCATTTAAAAAGTGAATTTGTAGAACAAATTGAGTAGAGCACAGATGTATGCACTGAATTGCCTCACTAACCTGGCTACAGGGTACATTCACTAGAGAAACAATTCTCTACTTCCTGCCTTGTTCTGAAATCTTTGGTACTTCCTGGTTTATTATTTCGCTTATTATAATTTATACAGAGCCAATCACCAAGGTATCTAGGTGCACTGAGAATTTTATTAAAGACAAAACATTTCCCAGGGGGCTAATACCCTACCACTCCCACCTTTATGTACCATAACTTTAAAAGGACAGAGACTAGAAAGGCATTGTCCACAGAAAAGTGATTGGGAAAAAGACAACTCACAGTTATAGAAATGCCATATATCACTCTTTGTGTCACCAGACTTAGATTTAGGTGAATTCCAGAGACCAACCTCTATCACCTGCATCTTATTTTGATTGGGTTTAGGATAGTCAAACTTAACCCAGGCCTTTCTCTCTGCCAATTATTTGGAGAGCAAGGAAATGGCTCCTTCTGGATCTAACAAAAAGGACACACAGAAAGAAGTGTCATCAGCAGATTGATGATACTGTATGTCTTTTGTTTCATGATTTTCTCCAGCAGCTGCGCATCCACAATAAGGCAGAAAGAAGACTGAGCTTCTTGAAACCCCACATCTGAGAAGCATCTAAGACGAAAATAAGTCATCCATCATCATTTACTGGGAACTTTCCAACAGGAGAAGAGAGAGGGACCACCCTAAGGTAATTCCTGCCACTCCTGATCAGTCACACAAGTGAGTCAACCGCACCTAATGGAGAATTAGCAAGAACATGTGACTTCTGTCCAATGCCATGAGGGGAGAGTCAGAGACTAATGTTATTTCCACTGTACATCCCTGTCTGAAAGCTGGTTGATGTCCAAAGAAGTAGACGTAAAATGCTGCTAGAGCTGGCTTGCCACCACCTTCTCAATTATCTTTCCAAGAAAAGGGAGGCTATTGACAAGACTATCATCATCATAAAAAGTCGACACTGCCAACTGTCATTTTCTATGGAACTACTGTACTGCCTTTCAATTACTGAGTATGAAAGCTGGCATGCCAGACTCCATGCCAACTATTGCAAGAAAACATACTACAGGTCACCTGGTAGCTGAACCAAATTCAAAGAAACATTAAAATTCAAAACCAAAATCAACCTAGTGACAACTGTAACTCATTCATAGACATGATGTTTAATATAACTTGAATATCATCTTGCACTGAAGAGCTCAAAACTCTTGACAAATGTTAGTGGAATTAAGCCTCAAAACATCCTACCCCTTGTGAGGCAGGTAAGTAGTCTGGGGTAAAATTTTCTGAAGTGCCTAAGAAACTGCTGCACTCCCATGGAACCTTACTGACTTCAATCGGACTCCATGCAGGCACAAGGGTCTGCCCAGTCAGTTGTCATTAGGGTGACCAGATGTCCCGATTTTATAGGGACAGTCCTGATTTTTGGATCTTTTTCTTATATAGGCTCCTATTACCCCCGACCCTGTCTCAATTTTTCCACATTTGCTGTCTGATCACCCTAGATGTCACAGGATCAGGAACCAAGTGATTCAGCCAGCAAGTCTACGGCAGAAACAGGAATAAAACCAGTTTCCTGATGCCCTGGTCTATACCTTAGCCACAAAAGACCATCCTTCCTTACCACCTCCCTATGGGTCAATTTACCATACAGTCATGAACTTCTTTCATATCAGCACTTTCAGATGACTAATACAAGTCCATGATATACAATTTATGGAGAAAAATATTTAAACCATTAACTAATGACCTAATCTTAGCCTAAAGCATAGCAAATATATGCTTTAAAATATCATTTTAACGGGCTTCGGTGACAGGTTGGATCACAGAAACCCCCTTGGGACTGCCAACTGATGTGCTGAGACTACTTCTGAGCCCGTTTTCCCTGTCAGCTTGGGATTTCAGAACCCTGCCTTGTTTGAGACAGAGACCTGGACACTGTCCGTGGAAGAGGCAGTATACCTAAAATTCTTCTTTGGGCTCCTCTCTGGGGCAGACACTCCTGTGTCCCCCAAAAAGGAAGGAAACCTGGATCCAGCTGTGGGCTCACAGCTACCAGCTATGACAGACCCTTCACTGGCCAGCAAAATCCCCGCCCCTTTCACTCAGATTGGGCTTGCTCCCAGCTACAGTGTCCTTGGGGTCTGTTCCCACCGCAGCAGTCACCAGGACCCCAACTTCCAGCTCCAGGATACATGTCTCTGTGCACCTCTTCCACTCCATTGCAGCCAGTTCGTGCTTCTGGGTCTTAATTTGCTTTGTCTTTAAAGTTCAGGGTTTGCTGGTGGGCAGCCTTTTCTTTTTCCAGGGCACATCAATTTCCATTTGTCTTCCCTTGAGACTGTCACTCGATAAGCTGGGATACCACAGAGAATCCTCTCCTGCCAGAACAGGCACCCCTCCACTCCTGTCTTGCTAAGTTAGACACTTCAGTCAGCTTCAGCACAAACACAGAGGTTGGGCCACATCTGTCTGCAGTTCACTGAAACTGAGATGCACTCAGCTCAGGGGCGTCTTAGTTAACAGACTTTCCCAGCGCCCAGTGTTCAGCCTTTCTGGGCAATTTGCAACTTGTGTAGTTCTAGCTTCTTCTGATCTTCACTCTTACTTATTTTGCTTCCTTTTCTGTCCCTACTTCCCTTACCCAAAATAAGCAAACAGAAAATAACAAGCCAGTAACCACTTTGTCTGTTCTCCAGCCACCACACTTAAAACTCACTTAAAATCACTACCAGTATATCAAAGCAATTAGCTGTGCACAGATCCTGCTCGACTACGCCACTGTGACAGCTTGGATCACAGAAACCCCCTTGGGGACTGCCAACTGATGTGCTGGGACTACCTCTAAGCCCATTTTCCCTGCCAGCTTGGGACTCCAGAATCTCGCCTGTTTGAGCCAGACACGCTAGCTTGCTACAAACCCAGACCCAGGTCTGAACCATGTCCCCCAAAAGCTGCAGGCTTAACTGAAAACAGCTTAAGAAGTTTTCCTGTCTCCAACACTCAGATGCCCAACTCCGAATGGGGTTCAAATCCCAAATAAATCTGTTTTACCCTGTATAAAGCTTATACAGGGTAAACTCAAATTCTTCGCCCTCTATAACACTGATAGAGAGATATGCACAGCTGTTTGTCCCCCCCCCCTCCAGGTATTAATGCATACTCTGGGTTAATTAATAAGTAAAAAGTGATTTTATTAAATACAAAAAGTAGGATTTAAGTGGTTCCAAGTAATAACAGACAGAACAACGTGAATTACCAAGCAAAATAAAATAAAACACGCAAGTCTAAACCTAATACAGTAAGAAAGCTGAATACAGATAAAAATCTCACCCTCAGAGATGTTTCAATAAGCTTTTATCACAGACTGGACCTCTTCCTAGTCTGGGCACAATCCTTTCCCCTGGTACAGCCCTTGTTCCAGCTCAGGTGGAAGCTAGGGGATTTCTCATGATTGCAGCCTCCTTTGTTCTGTTCCACCCCCTTATATCTTTTGCATAAGGCAGGAATCCTTTGTCCCTCTCTGGGTTCCCACCCCTCCTTCTAAATGGAAAAGCACCAGGTTAAAGATGGATTTCAGTTCAGGTGACATGATCACATGTCACTGTAAGACTTCAAGCCCTCATTCATCCCAGACTGACTTACAGGAAGGCCTGCAAGCAAACAGAGCCATCCACAGTCAATTGTTCTGGTTGATTGGAGCCATCAAGAGAGATACATTTATACAAATAGGATGACCACACTCAGTAGATTATAAGCTTTGTAATGATACCTTACAAGGGACCTTTTGCATGAAGCATATTCCAGTTACATTTTATGAAAATATGCTAATGAGTGTGAATATAATCAATGTCACAGCTTCGTCCCACATTAAAATTTTAACACTAGAACTTGGCCATCACACATAAATGAACTAAATCTGTGAGCAATTTTGACCCAAGGTTGCCAGAACACATTTATTTCACCCTGTTGTGCATACACACTGAACTTAAAGTTTCTCCCACTGTTACATTTTGCAAGACCAAATGATGGAAAGAGCTACACATCATATGACAAGGTATTATTTTTGAAAAGACATGCCATTCTGATCTTTCTCTCCAGTTTTAAGTAATGTCAACCATATTGTGGTTTGACAGAGATAAGCTGACTTATAAAGGAGTTCTATATTTTTGTAACACACAGCGGGGATACCTTTATATGCTCCAGAACAGCAGTTGCAACATTTGTATGAAGATCGATGAGCCTTTTCTTTTCAAGTAGTTCTGGAAGAGAGCTGAAAAAATTAAATATAAAGTAAAACGTTGAGTTGCACATTCTAGTGGAATTGTGCATTCACTATAATAAATGCATAAATTATGAGAAGCAAAGGTGAAGATTACAAACTGAAAAACAAAGGAGTCAGGAAATACAAGAGTTAAGGTTCTCATAGAAACATTTACAGTATATTCAATGTGGGTAATTTAAATAGCTGTAGTTTAGTGATAGAAAACAACTAACGTATACACAGTATGGACAAAGTAATACAGCTAAATGTAAATGTATACATCTAGGAACAAAGAATGCAGGCCATACTAACAAGATGGGGGGACACTAGTCCGAGAAGCAGTTATTCTGAAAAAGATATTTGGGGGCAGGATAACCAGCTGAACATGAGATGCTATGGCCAAAAGGGCTAAAGTGATCCTCGGATGCATAACTGGGGATATCTCAAGTAGGCGTAGAGATAATATTACCTCTGTATTTGGCACTGCTGCAACCACTGCTAGAGTACTGTGTCTAGTTCTGGGGTATGCGATTCAAGAAGGATTGATCAGACACACTGTACTTGTGACTCACAGCTCCGCTGGAGGTGCTCGTCACTGTGGCATCTGAATAATCACCTATTAATGTTTATCCTTGATCACAGGGATAGCTAGTAGATGTCAGGACCCAGTTATCAATAGGATGTGGGAAGTGCGTGTAGCCTAGCCAGAGGCATAAATTTAGAGGCCTCCTGCAAGAGCCCCTTCTTAAGCTGAGAGCCCGTGAGAAAGCACAGCAATTGAGTGAGCTGCCAACATAAGGAAAGTTTGGCTGCAAAGAGAGAAGGCCAAGGGATAACAATTAGAAAGGCACCAAGTCCCCAAGAAAAGTAACTGACTGAACAAACAGAAAAAAACCCAATACACCTAACAAACATACCCTAAATGTAGGCTACATTAAAAAAAGCCACAAGAGTAAAACAAAACAAAAAAACCCCAACACCATAGGCAGAAGATCAGCAGCAGAGTGGGGGCTACCCAATTTATCGCACTGAGTGCAACATGTAGGACTACCTGCCTTGGGAGCAGGTGGTGTATGCCTTGGAAGCAGGTGGGTGCGGTGCAAGCAATTCACGGCCCTCAGAGACAGAGTATGGGCTCTTGAGGCCAGAGTGGCTGAACAGGAGGACAATGAGACACAGTGGGGTACAGAGAAGAGATTTTTAGAGACAAAGTAGAGCGGTCCCACCTCCTGTCCAACAGCCCCTGTGCTGTTAAGAAGGATGAAAGTCTTGGGGCGGGAGAGCATCAAGCTGGAGTAGAAGGAAACAATCCCATAGTTGGGACCCACCTTCCAGATGATGTCATGATAACCTCTTGCACGGAGGATATCCCTCCGGGGGGCAGGGACTTGACTAGGAAGAGACAGGCAATAGTAGTGGGGATTTGATTACTAGAAAAGTAGATGGTTGGGTTTATGATAACCAGGAGAACCGCATGGTAAATTGCCAGCTGGATGTAAAGATAGCAGTTCTCACGAGATATTAAGACAGACCTATAGGTAGCACTGGGGAGGAACTGGTGGCTGTGCTACATGCAAGTATCAATGACTTGGGAAAGGTAGGAGAGAGGTACTGGAGGCCAAATTTAGGCTGCTAGGTAACAGATCAAAGTCCAGGACCACCATGGTGGCATTTTCTGAATTGCTTCCATTTCCACATGCAGGGCCAGTAAGACAGGCAGGACTGCAAGGTCTCAATGCATGAATGAGATGATGGTGCAAGGAGTAGGGATTTAGGTTTATTAAGAACTGGGGAACATTTTGGGGAAGGAGTAGCCTATAGAGGAAAGATTGGCTCCACATAAACCAAAATGGAACCAGACTGCTTGCATGTAAAATTAAAAAGGCTGTAGTGGATTTTTTAAACCAAGGGCTGCGGGAAAGCTGACAAGTGCAGAACAGCACACTGTTCAGGCAGCCAGTGGAGTGGAGGAAGATCTAACTCTGGAAGGAGAGAGCAGAAAAGGAAGATTTCCTAGATGAGAGCCCAAAATGGCCAAGATTGCATGCTGAAATAGTACAGGCTGGAGGACATGGGGGTAGAAACCAAAAAAAAATGTTTCCCACAGGAACCCTGACATATGCTTGGAAAGATGATCCCTGTCTCCCTATCAGATCAGTACAACTCCCATGAGAACAAAGTATATGGGTGGCAGATATCGCCCTACTATATTTTGAAGAGATGGAAGAAAATGAACACTCAAATAATGAAGTTGCACTATTCAGGTGTCTTAGGGCCCTCCCGAAACCTAGTCAGTGTTTCAATTCCAGAACTCATCAGTCCAGAGACAGAAACACTTAAAATGGCAGATGAGGATAGCAGGGGTGACTCTAGCTGTGTCATCACCATGAGATGACTCAGTACAGGAAACATCTGCACCAGACACATCTGCACCATGAAGGTTGATGGCAGAGTCATGGGCTCAGAGAGGATTGCTATCATGTGTTACAGTACTGACATCGGTACTGAGATGTTGTTACTGGGGAAAATATGGACCATGGGTACTCTGTGACCAGTTAATACATCAGAGGGATCCAATCAGGGCTGTAAACTGCTTTTCCATTGAGGGGCATGAACCAACACAGAGACATGGCTCATCTCACTAGGCACCAGGGAGGGTGACCTTTGTCTATGCTTACCCTGGGAACTCTGCTCCTTCCTACCCCTTCCTGACAACAACTGGGCGTAGACTCAGTGGCCAAGGGGTTCAATGTCTTTGATGAAGAATGAACACAGGACCTTGGTGTACGGCTGCATCTCACCAGAACACTAGCCAAGAGCAAATGAGCCAGCTTGACAGGATTTTTAGCTTCAGACTCTGAAGAGGCCCTTTTTGATAGCTCCAGAAGAAAGCTTGAGAAGGGCTATCAGGCCTTTCTGCATTCTTTTGGAAAAGGAGAGACAGATTAAACATTTGCCAGTGATGTGTCCCTCACTGAGACAAAACAGACACCTAGAGTATTCATCACTGGTGGAAGTATGGATCGCAGTTTCAGGTGGTACCTGTGGGTACTTGGTGACCAGCCAATGCACCAGAGGGACACAATATGAGCCGTAAGGACATATACCAGCCTTGCAAGAGGGATAAGTTTAAAATGTCAGGGTTTTGGCTCAGCCATACTGAGTCTAGCCCACTATCCTGTCTTCTGACAGTGGCCAATGCAAGAAGTTTCAGCGGGAATGAACAGAACAGGGCAATCACCAAGTGATCCATCCCCTGTCGTCCACTCCCAGCATCTGACAGTCAGAGGCTTAAGGACACCCACAGCATGGGGTTGTATCCGTGACCATCTTGGCTAATAATCATTGATGGACCTATCATCCATGACCTTAATTAATTCTTTTATGAAACCAGTTATAGTTTGATCTTTACAACATTCCATTGCAATGAGTCCATAGGTTAGCTGTGCATTGTGTGGAAAAAGTTCCTCGTGTTTGTATTAAACCTGCTGCCTATTAATTTCACTGGGTGACCCCTGGTTCTTGCATTACATGAAGGAGTAAATAATCCCTTATTCACTTTCTTCACGCCACTCATGATTTCATAGACCTCTGTCATATCCCCTCCTTAGTCATCTCTTTTCCAAACTGAATAGTGCTAGTCTTTTTAATCTCTCCTCAGACGGAAGCAGTTCCCATACCATTAATCATTTTTGTTGCACGTCTTGGTATCTTTTCCATTTCTAATGTACGTTTTTGGAGATGGGGTGACCCGAACTGCATGCAGTATTCAAGGTGTGGACGTACCATGGATTTCTATAGTGGCATTATATTTACTGTCTTATCTACCCCTTTCCTAACGGCTCCTAAAATTGTTAGCTTTTTTGACTGCTGCTGCACACTGAGCGGATGTTTTCAGGAAACTATCCACAAGGACTCCAATATCTCTTTCTTGAGTTGTAAAAGATAATTTAGATCCCATAATTTTGTATGCATAGTTGGGATTATATTTACTTTGCATTTGTCAACATTAAATTTCATCTGCCACTTTGTTGCCCATTCAAGCAATTTTGTGAGATCCCTTTGTGTCTCTTTGCGTCAGCTTTGGACTTAACTATCTTGTGTACTTTTGTATTGTCTGCAAACTTTGCCACCTCACTGTTTACCCCTTTTTCCAGATCATTTATGAATATGTTGAACAGCAACGGTCCCAGTACAGATCCGTGGGGGACAGAGCTATTTACCTCTCTCCATTCTGAAAACTGGCCATTTATTCCTACCCTTAGTTTCCTGTCTTTTAACCAGTTAGTGAACCATGACAGGAGCTTCCCTCTTATCCCATGACTGCTTACTTTGTTTAAGAGCCTTTGGTGAGGGACCTTGTCAAGTTAGTATTTTTGCAATTTCATATTTGAGTTCCTTCAAAACTCTTGGGTGAATACCATCTGGTTCTGGTGACTTATTACAGTTTAATATACCAATTTGTTCCCAAACCTCCTCTACAGACACCTCAATCTGGAATAGCGTTTCAGATCTGTCACCTAAAAAGAATGTCTCAGGTGTGGGAAACTCCCTCACAGCCTCTGCAGTGAAAACTGATGCAAAGAATTCATTTAACTTCTTTACAATGGCCTTGCCTTCCTTGAGTGCTCCTTTAGCACCTTGATTACCATTGGCCCTACTGATTGGTTGGCAGGCTTCCTGTTTCTGATGTACTTAAAACATTCTTTGCTGTTAGTTTTTGAGTCTTTTGCTAGTTGCTCTTCAAATTCTTTTTTGGCCTGCCTAATTATACTTTTACACTTGACTTACCAGAGTTTATTCTTCTTTCCATTTTCCTCAGTAGGATTTGACTTCCAATTTTTATATGCCTTTTTGTCTCTAACTGCTTCTTTTACTCTGTTGTTTAGCTATGGTGGCATTTTTGGGGTCCTCTTACTATTCTTTCTAATTTGGGGTATACATTTAGTTTGAGCCTCTGTTATGGCAGTTTTAAAAAAGTTTCTATGCAGTTTGCAGGCATTTCACTCGTGACTGTTCCTTTTAATTCCTGTTTAACTATCTTCCTCACTTTTGTGTAGTTCTCCTTTCTGAAGTTAAATGCTGAAGTTAAAAAGCATGTGGTAGGCTTTTTGGTTTTCTTCCTCACCCACATGGATGTTAAAATTAATTGTATTATGGTAGCTATTACCAAGAAGTTCAGCTATATTCACCTCCTGGACCAGATCCTGTGCACCATTTAGGATTAAATCAAAAATTGTCTCTCCCCTTGGGGGTTCCACGACTAGCTGCACCAACAAGCAGTCATTAATGGTATCTAGAATCCTTATTTCTGCTTCCCTTCTGGAGGTGACATGTACCCAGTTGATATGGGGTAGTTGAAATCTGCCATTATTACTGAGTCCTCTATTTTTATAGCCTCTCAAGTCTCCTTGAGCATCTAAGTACCCGTTATTGGGGGAAACTCTATACCTAAAACGAATTCCTAGTGATTAATCTTATTTTGCCAATGGGTGTTAAACTACAACAACTGTTAATTATGCTATTTATGCTAATTAACTATTCAAGTATAATAAACTAGCCTAACAACTAGTCTCACAGTGTGCAGAGTAAAGTATATGGTTCAGTGTCACCCCCATAGGTGGTAAAAAGGAAGTTAAGGAACTGTTGGGACTACTCCACCCCTTTTGTCCTTGGATGAGGGTGTGGCATGTGAGGACATCTAGTCCCAATGGGTTCTGCTGGCCAGTAGAATCCAATCTCACACTAATGGACTGCATGCGCACCAGAAGCAGAATCCATGCAGACAATCACTGAAAGAAGAACCATTTCTTCCAAAGTCTATTTTTTGAGATTTTGCCATACTGGGCAACAAACATCTAAATTCTTGCTTAACATTCCGATTGATATTTTGAAAGTTGGTAAAATCATCAGGAGATATTAAAATCAGAATAGCAGAAAATATAACTAATGGAAAGCTATTTTACCTACACTACTAGTGCTTTATTAATTACTTACCTAACAGCTGAAGTTAGCTTAGCTGTATTATCAGAAAGCATACTTATTGCTCCTTCATCCTCCCCTTCAATTCCCTGTGGAAAGAGTTTCATTAAGGTACAACCATGTATGCTGTAGACACAAAACCATATTTGTAAATATGGTTAATTTATTTCTTCTCTATTTTACACTGACAGTGCCGGGATAATAATACTTCTACTGGGCACATCCATAAAGAACTCATTGGACAATAAATTATAATTTATAATTATAAATGAAAAAGTCTAGAAGTTAGAAAAAACACATTGTACAGATGCCATTTGAAACAAAAAGGAAGGTGGGCTTCCTAAAGGCCATAATCCATTTTAAATAATAATTCAAAGAATTTCACAGCTCATGGAGAAGTCCCTCACTGCGTTGTATATGGTGGGACAGAAAGAACATTAGCAAGGTGTTTGGATCAAGGCTGAAGTCTGTCACCACCTTACAAGGAATTTAGGAGGGGCTATTTTCAACATGTTTGTCTTCAAGCCAGACCCAGACAGATTAAAACTTCTGTGCATTTCTGGAGTGGCTGTTAACATATGAACCTGTTTACTCCACACTACAATTTTCAAATACTTAAAGAATTAAGTCTCTGATACATATTAAGAGATCAGTGTTGTTAAATTGATTATTTAGAACAGCAGTCCCGTTAACTCTGTGAGTCACTGCATACTTCTATGAACACATCCTTCTGAGTCTCATTTGGAAATGCTGCAATATTATCACAATAAATTCAGGCAAATAATCATGTTTATGTATTTACAATAGTGAATTCACTTCAGAGGATGAAGTGATATTTTGCAATGACCTGAAGTCTTCCACATGCATTATCTTCTTTTATTAATTTATTTTTCTAAAAACCTGGTTTTAAAGTATACCTTATCTAGCTGTATGTTAAAATGTTTATTTCCCCCCAACTTCATGGCACCCTTTTTGCCCTATCATCATTTTACATCCAAAGTGCTTCCCTTCCCAGAATGTGTCAGTCAAGATAGTGAGAACTCGCATGAGCTAAAGGAGAGGAGGTTACTTACTATAATTGGAAATTCTTCGGGATGTGTGGTCCCTATGTGGATTCCAAGCGTGGGTGCGCATGTGCGCCATGCGCTGGAGCCAGAATTGTTCATAGTAGCATCCACTGACCTGCACGTGCATAGTGCGTCGCCGTGTGGTACGTCCAAGGCTTTAGGAGGCTGCGCAGCTCGACACCTCTTACCAAGCAGCAGAGGAGCCCAGAGCAGAGGGGAAGGAGGGCAGGATTGGAATCCAGATAGGGACCACACATCTCAAAGAACCTCCAGTTACAGTAAGTAACCTCTGAGAGAGAGAGAGAGAGAGAGAGAGAGAGAGAGAGAGAGAGAGATGGTCCCTATGTGGTTCCATGCATCGGAGAGTACTGAGCAGTGCTCAGGTAGGAGGTGGGCATAAGGGCTCAGAAGAAGTGTGGAGAACAGCATGGCCCACTGCCGCATCCATTGAATCCTTTGTATCAAGAGTGGTGAACCAGGCTCCATGGGAAAGGGAGGGGATAATGAGAGGGAGGGTGATCATCCGGAAATGGAACTTGCGAATAAATCTGTTCAGAGGTCCAAGATAGGGCGGAAGCCACCTCCTTTCTTTGACGCAAGGAAATAGGAGAAATAGAAGCCCTGGCAACGGTAGCACTGTTGAATGAGTTCTATAGCGGCCTTCCGGAGGAGGGTATCTGCTTCCTCTCAGAGGAAGTGAGAGTGTGATAACGTGGCACGGTGCTCCTCAGGTGCGCAGCGAGGCAGGAAGGAGAGAAATTAGATGAGGTAGACAATATTCCAGCACCCAGTGGTTGGTGGTAATCTTACCCCACTTGCGAGTGAAGCGGCCAAGGCAGCCCCCGAAAATCACCTGTGGAGTAGCGAGAGGAGAGGGGGGAGGTTCGCGGGTCTTTGGGAAGGAGTCAAAAGGGCTGCTTGGAGGAACCTCAAGGCAGGGTGGAAGTAGAAGGAGTAGCAGAGTAGCGAGTTCATTGCGAGTGCAGACAATGCTGAGAAGAATAGGGTGGGCGCTGGGGGTAAGGTTGGTGGTACGGCTGGTACATGGCATAAGCTGGCATGAGAGTCCTTGAGGGAATGGAAGGACTCGTCTGTTTTGTTTCTGAACTTGTGGTTGTCGAAGGGGAGGTCCTCAAGAGTGGTCTGGACTTCTTTTGGGAAGCTGGGAGTCCTGGCAAAGTATGAGGCAGCATTGACCGTGTCCTGGACAGCGATCTTGGCCACTAACTTGCCTTCATCCAGTTGACGTTGGAAGTCCTGCTGCCTCTCCGGGGGGAGGAAGGCCTGGAAGTCCATGAGTTTGGAAAATGAAAGGAAGTCATACTTGGCCAGGATGGCCTGGTAGCTGACAATGTGGAATTGGAGGCCAGCAGAAGAATAGACCTGGTATCCCAGGAGGATCAACTTCTTGGTGGCCCGATCAGTGGGCGTGGACCATAGATGATGTTGGCTCGGTCGCAGCTCGGACCACCAGGGAGTTGGGGGGCATGTGGGTGAAAGGAAAATCCATGCCCGTAGAGGGCATGAAGTACTGGCATTCTGCCTGTTTTGGTGTTGGGGCACAGGAGGCTGTGGTGTGCTAGGTGGTCTGGGCCGGCTGTAGAAGGGCATTGTGAACAGGGAGTGCGGTACACGAGGGTCCAGAAGATTGTAAGATGTCTAGGAATTGATCTCACGGGTCCTGAACGTCCTCAGCCTGAGGGATGTGGCCATTCCCCAAAGTCCTGGTATGGCACAAGGTTGGCAAGAGGTGAGAGAATGGGGGGGCATGATCGCATCATCCAGAGACGAGGAGATGCCCATATCGACTGGGGTTGGCAAAGGTGCCTGCTGGTGCCGCCAGAGTGGAGACGGCCGAAGGGTCCTCGAAGAAGAAGGGAGGGGCTGTGCGCGTCAGGGAAAACTGGTGCCATGAGCGAGATGGCATTCCATGCTCATAATAGGGCATCCAGGAAGCCCAGTAGGGCCAGACATAGAGGTGGCCAGGCAATGGTGGCGCCGAGGTGTAGGGGTACCATGGGTCGGCTGACGGGGCGTATACTGGAGGGTACAGTTGGCAGCAAGGATCCAGACTGAAGGACCGTGCAGGCGAGAAGGTGGGGTCTGGGTAGGAGGACCACTCAGACTCGGAAGATGGGTCTGGTAGGGGCGGAGCCAGCGGGACCATCAGTGCAGGAGAATGGTCCAGGAGCAATAGAGGCACCTCTGGCCCGGCAGAGAAGGGCAGGGTGGAGCAGAGAAGGATGGAGCAGGAGCAACTCGTCCATAGGGGATGGCGGGCGAAGCGTGGCAGGGGACCCAGAGGCCCATGTGTGGTAGCATAAGCTCAGCCGTCAAATGTCCTGGCACGCCTGGCACCAGGCAGACAAGTCTGGACAGACCTGGTGGAGTGGACGGAACTGGGGGCACCGGCGGCAAGCCAGTCACTGTGGCTGGTGCCAGCGCAGCTTGGACTTGTGCTCGGAGCGGGACATCTTCGGAGCAGGAGTGTCCAAGTCGGCGCGCGACTTCTCACCCGCCTTGACATGGCTTGAGGAGGCAACACTGCGCTTGGGGGCGGTCCCCGTCGGGGAGCCACCCTTATGCCCATGGGTGTGCTTTATGTGCACTCGGTGGGCTTTTGGTGGGTGCACCGGTGCTGGGCGGGAAGACCCCAGAGAGGTGCTCACTGCCGGTGTCGAATGCCATTCCAGCGGATCCATGGATCCCAGATCTGGGAGCGCACTTGGGCGCATTGCCTCTTCTATGAGGTGTTTGCGGAGGTGGAGTTCTCTAGCCTCTCAGGTGCACGGTGGGAATGATCGGCAGATGGAGCAATGTGCAGCAATGTGAGCCTTGCCAAGGCAATAAAGACAAAATTGATGCACATCGCTCACAGAGAAGGCGCATGGGCATGAAGCACAATATTTAAACCCAGCTTGCCAGAGTACAGTCCCCTAGCCGGGGGGAGTCCTTAGAGGGGATAAGTCCAACGGAAAGTAACCAGCCAACTAATTAACGATGAACAGACAACTACTAAACTACACTAAAGAAAAAACATGTACAATGGACAGAAGCAGTTCTTTTAACAAGCTAAGAGCACCGAGGAAGAGAGATTGCAACTCTGGCCATGCAGCGGTAAAAGGGAACTGGAGCGGCGTTGACCTGCACTGCCTCTTAAAGCTTCGGACATGCCACACGGCCGATGCACATGTGCGTCAACGGATACTACTAGGAATAGTTCCGGTTCTGGCGCATGGCGTTCATGCACACCCATGCTTGGAATCCACATAGGGACCATCACTCGAAGAACAACATTTGTTGATGCTGATGCTTTCAAAGCATGGAACAAAGCCCTACACAAGTATTCGCATATTTTATATAAAAACAAAATGTTAAACAAAAAATATATATGTTAAACAAACCTTACCATAATACTTTTAAGCCTCTTGACCTCATCTTCTTGGGCTCTGTAGGATTCCAGCTCTTGCTGAACAGACTCTGCTACCTCTGGGAAAGGACTAAAGCAATATTATATATCAGGTTCTGTTAAGCAGTCAAATTTAAACAGTAGAACCATATGGTTTGTATGATCAAAATAACTGTTGAAATGCCTTTCAGAAATATTTATGAAATACCAACTCACTACTATAATGATGAAACATCAAAAATACAGAAAATAATTAATATATGAGAGTAATCAAACATATGCTTAAGCTTTCAGTACAAATATCCATTACTTTTTATATGCTTTATTAAATCCACTTATAAAAATGAATACATAGTGATGGCACCATAGATGCATACTCTCTACATAACAAAAAAATCCCCCTAAAGCAGATGAATACAAAGAGGTAAAATGACTGTCCCAGCAGATCCACTAACATCAGTGTTTCAAATTGCTGTAGATATTAAATATATTTCCACAAAACCCTAAAAGTAAAGCTACCGCAATAGGTAAGGATTAGTATAAAGCAATTCCTCAACTATTTTACCTGAAGGGACTGAATCTACTAATCATGAGGTCTCCATCCTAAGTAATTTCATTTTCATAAACATTCAAAACAGTAAAGTATTGGGATATCCAAATGGATCAGATGACATCTTTCTTTAAATCTAATAATGTGACCAGACCACACTATACAGCAGAGTTTGTCCCTCCAGTGCTGGTTTTCAGTTTTCATTCTTTTATAGCTTTGCTCACACAGAACTCTTTCTTAGCACATCCAGGGCACTCTACTACCTTGTTTGTGAATCATAAGAATTAAGAGATTATGTTTAATTTAGCATTTTCCATATTACCAAAGAACTCCACTTCTCTCTATAAATCCAATTTGATTTTTCCTAAACTAAGTAAAACTGCTAGTGAATCCCTTAAAATTAGATTAATTCCTCTACACTATTTACATAGATTGAACTATACCAAACATACCTATTTTATGAAATTACACAGAGTTCTTTGGGTAGAGTAATGTGGCTTATGACCCCCTTTACACAAATGCTCTATCACACTTCCTCAAAGACATGAAAAAAATATTAGTATGTTAGGGTAATTCTTCATTAAAAGTTGACGAATTTAAATATAAAATCTGGAATTGTTCAGCTCACCTGCCTTTATGCTTTTGCCAAAATTTATCAGCTGGAGTTAAGTCATATGATTTTTTATTCTTTTTCTTTGGTCTAGCCCCTGCCGGAGAATTTTCCATTCCTGAAGATTCCTCTAGATTAACTCTGTTCAAATGGAAATCCTAGACAAGGATAATTTTAATTAAACATCCACAATTTCAATCCAAAAGAGAGAATTAAAAATATTCTTACCATGAACCAAAATAACTAGAAGGCCTCCATACATTTATTTTGATTAAATCCTATGATAGATCTTCCAAATGAAATGGACATTTCAAATCCTCTCTAAAAATCTCTAGGCTGTATGTATAATCTTTCTTCCTTAATGCTTTAAAATAGACTATTTTGTTACCAGTCTTTTCCATTGAGCAAATGTTTTATTTTGCTATTTATTCTAATGTAACCAAAAGCATCTATTTTTGTTAAATATCTGTACACCAGCCAAAAGAAGTTTACTAACCAACCTAAGATAACATAAGCAGAGTTAGGAGTCTGGTGTAGTTTCTTCAAAGTCAAAGTCATTTAATGCTATAATAGAAATAGAATTTCAAGTGAGTGCATGCATATTTGTCCTGTCCTAACTCACATTCAAGAGCACACACACACAGATTTTGTAAGCAGACATGATAACCTACTTTGCTTTCTGTATGTAAACTGGATTATTTACCAGGAACTGGAGTTGTCTGACTTAAAATGATTCTATAAATTCACTCTAGAAGGTGCACAGGTTTTCATATGGGATTTGTAGAGGCAATTCAGTAATTTAGAACATATTTGTACAGGGCTGCCATAGGTTTCCTCAGTGTTGTAGAGAAATGTTGTAGTCTAACGATGATGACCCAATTACACCAAAATTGTGGATGCAGTACTGTGAGACCAAGTTTTTCCCTGCTGCAAAAAAACCCACAAGATGGACCTGGTCGGGATCACCGGGAGGAAAATTCTAAGGTTATATTCAGTATTTTCAACAGATGATTCTGTTTGAAGAATCTGTGTGGAAACAGGCGAGATTCTGACCCCAGAAACTACAGATCTCATTCAGAGGACATGGTTGGCAGGCTGTTTCCAAAAAGCCTCTTGCAACTTTCTCCCCATACTTTGCCAGTATGGCATCTCTGCATTGACTATAACGGTTGAATGGATTCCCCCTGGTTTACAAGGTGGAAGTAAAAAATGTGGGTAAGCAAACGAGCCCCACTCACTCTCTACAAATAGATCTCCAACCCTGAACAACGCCCATCTGGAGACAGGACCGCAGTGGCGGCACTTCCCCACTCCACTCACCATTTATGGTGAATCCCTTCCTTACAGAGATTTGAGATTAATTAATTCATGCTGAAGGATTAATTCGTTCCTCCTAATTATCCCCTCTTCCCCCATTTTGAATGACTGGGGAGGGGAAATAATTCTCTTTTAGAGAAGATTTTAAATTCTACAGATGTCCTCTGCTCAGCCATCACAATTTTAGGGTAAAACGGATCACCTCTGGGCTTCATAAGATAAAGCAAACACCTTCTTTAAAAATATGAAAGGGACCTGTAGGGTTGCCAGGTGTCCGGTTCGACCGGAACGCCAGGTTGAAAAGGGACCCTCGCGGCTCTGGTCAGCACCACTGACTGGGCTGTTAAAAGTCCGGTCCGCTGTGCAGCGGGGCTAAGGCAGGCTCCCTGCCTGCCGTGGCTCTGCACGGCTCCCGGAAGCAGCAACATGTCCCCCCTCCAGCTCTTACGCCTAGGGCAGCCAGGGGGCTCTGTGTGCCAATGGGAGCTGTGGGGGTGGTGCCTGCGGATGGAGCAGTGTGCAGAGCTGCCTGGCCGCGCCTTCATGTAGGAGCAGAAGGGGGGCCATGCCGCTGCTTCTGGGAGTTGCTTGAGGTAAGCGCCGCTCAGAGCTGCACACCTGCCCCCCTCCTGTACCCCAACCCCCTGCCCCAGCCCTGATCTCCCTCCCGCACTCTGAACCCCTCGGCCCCAGCCTGGAGCACCCTCCTACACCCCAAATCCCTCATCCCCAACCCCACACCAGAGCCCGCTCCCCCAGCTGGAGCCCTTACACTCCTCCACACCCCAACCCCCTGCCCCAGCCCTGATCTCCCTCCCGCACTCCGAACCCCTCGGCCCCAGCCCGGAGCCCCCTCCCACACTCCAACCCCCTGCCTCAGCCGGGAGCCCCCTCCCATACTTCGAGCCCCTTGGCTCCACCCCCCGAGCCCGGAGCACCCTCCTCCACCCCAAACCTCTCATTCCTGGCTCCACCCCAGAGCCCGCACCCCCTCCTATACCCCAACCCACTACCCGGTGAAAATGAGTGAATGAGTGAGAGTGGGGATAGCGAGCAACAGAGGGAGGAGTGGGATGGAGTGAGCGGGGTTGGGGCCTCAGAGAAGGGGCAGGGCACAGGTGTTTGTGCGAGTAGAAAGTTGGCAACCCTAGGGGCTAGTAGAATTAGAACTGCATTTTTTGTCTTACAATATATAAAAATAAGATTATTGAAGTTAGATGTTTAAAAGATAAACAGGAAAAAAATGCTCAAGGTGTTCACATTTTGAGAGGGTTCCGTTATGCTATAAGACTTTCCTCAGGTACAAAAAAAATCCAAACTTGCATTTCTAATACACTCATTATCATGGAACCTAGGCACTAAAGAATGACCACATCAACCATTTCCTCAAACAACAACTGATTCTCCAGTCATTTTAGGATTCACTTCAACATTACACACAATTTTCCCCTAAAACTCTCCATCAGCATATTTCAGTCTGCCTTATGGTGCTGGGATCTATTCCTCTCTCTCCTTGATCATCTATCACTGATGACCTCTTTGACTCTGGGATAAATTGAAAATAGAAAGTTAAACAATTTTTGAGAAATTGCCACAAACTTCAAAGAGTAGAATTTTAAAAAGCTGTTTAAAATATTCCTGTTGTATAAGTAGGCATGAGGAAAAAACACTAAAGAGAAGTTGAGGGAGATTATCAGTGTTAGAACTAAAAAATTAGCCTATATAAAATTTTTGGAATGTCATTTGGGATTCTAGTGGCTAGTCATATTTTATACAAACATACCACTTCACTGTAAAGAAAATCTAAATTAAGTTTAGAAAATTAGGATTCAGGCTTTCAAAAGTTTACACATACTTGTGTGTGCTGTGACAAAGCACACTATGCACATGCCTACAGGCCTGACAGCATATACACTGGAGTTAGAATGTGCAAGGCAAACAGGAATACTTTGAAAATGTAGCCCTAAATGGCCTTAAAAATACTTTTCAGAACTGTTCTGACATAATTGATTATGCTGGTGCACAAATGAGGCTTTGGCATGCCACGCCACTTCAAGTTGCCTGTACGTTCATGTCATATTAAAAAACTAAACAATCATATTAATTAAAGTTCATTCTAAAAACAACCACCTATGTTTACCAAACTGAAAAGAACAAAATAGGAAAAACATTTTAAAGCTTCTAATGGGATATAAGAAACAACGAAGAGTAAAAACTAAAATTAGTGTCCTTTAAATAGAGCAACAGAGGAATAATGCTGAATACCCCCAAAATAATGCAGTGATAGGTTATAAGTGATGCTTATAAAATAGTCCTAAAGGCTGAGTAGAGAAACTAAGATCAAAATAAAGGACCAGATTTTAGTAACTCTCTGTGAGAGCCGTATTAATTTCAATGGCATTATTTTAAATAAGATACTAAATATCCGTAAATCTGGCCCTAGGTTTTTTGTTTTTTAAACTTTTTCAAAATACTTGATGATTCTGGAACAGTGCAGGAATTGCAAACTTCACCCAAAAAGTGCTAGAAATGGTTTTAATACAAGTCACATCTCTAAATCCTTTCATATTGGGACTTGGATTTTTCCTGGCTTAAAGGTGACTGCAGGCAATGGTGCCCTAAACCACAGGCCCCATGGAGTTGAAGTTGGCAAGACATCAGATGTAAACAAATTACATGAAAAACTGCTACAAGAAATGGGAAATGATAAAGACACTTTCACATACATTTTCATAAAGGTTACTCCATTCAGGAAGGATACAAAGAGATTATCTTAATGACATCGTGTACAAGATATTTGGAAACTAAATACTAGAAAATCTGATGATTTTTGCTGGAGAGGGAAACATTCAGAAGCTACATTGAAAGATCACACGGGGCCAGGGAGGATGGACAGATCTACACCCTGAAAAAATGCAGTGTAGCTAAGGATAACCAGCCTCATGAAAAAAATGGTCATGCCTGATTATAATTTTGGATATATTTGTAGATACTATTGCCAAGTGGTGGTAATGTAATTTAATTAACATAATATGCATAACGTAATTAGGTTTTCAAAAGTAACTGACAAAGTTTCATAATAGAAGTGAACAGCCAAAGTGTGAAGAGTCATGAACCAGGGAAACAGTTGACAGAAAATTAAGGGAGAATGGAAGTTTCTTAAAAGATGGAAAGAAAGATAGTGAGGAGTCACAAGGATCAGTTTTTGTAATCAAGTTTATATGATTTAATAACAAATTATGTTATATGCAACCTTACTACACTCCCTATACTCCAAGCTTAAACAATGGACTAACCCGGGATGTTCAACAAATAACAATGAGAAACTTACCAGATGCAGGCCTTAAGTGGTAAACTAAAATTCACTATAGAACTAATAGCCTTTGAACTTATAAGCAAAATAAGAAATGAGTAGTTCTCAATATGGAAGACTTGAATTCATATTATGGAGCCACAATTTTCATAAGCACGTTTGCGTCTCATTCTAGAGAAAGCCAAGTTTTCCACCTCTCTTCCTTCCCTAAACATACATACTTTCCACAAAAAACAAGAAACTTTCTGTCTCCAATTTCTCGGTATGGTCGTCTATCAGAAATATTTTTTTTATTGTTTAAAAGAAATTTGAGATACTAGCGTTAACTTTTAGCAGTTAAATACCTTTGTAGAGGTATTTTAACTTTGTCTTGCTGTTTTGTCCCCAATGAGAACTAATGCCTTTGAATACTTTGTGGAAAGTTAAGTGATTAATTTTGGAGTGATTCACTATGAATATCTGAAGCCTTGAAAATACAGCTGGGCAAGCAATTTTCAATTTGTTGGCAATTCTCAAAAAAATAAAAAA